CTTTACTGATTGACAAGGCATATTATACCTTAGCAGAGTACTTTGCTGGTCAATTTTGATTTTGTTTATCTTCATTTTTCTACTCTGCTTATCATATCAACAGTTCTGTTTTTAATTTTTTTTTTTTTTTTGTGTTCATTCTTCCAGTCTTTCCTACAATTTATTATTTCCTACAATTTATTATTTATATATCGTTTCTGTTTCAACACCTGTGTTTTTAATTAATAAGTTTTACTGCCTAGGTTTAGTTTGTTTTATTTTTAGTTTTAGGCTTTGTCGATAAATTGTATTTACACTTTTCGGACAATAAAGCTCATATCATATCATATCATACAAAGGGAAAAACTACTTTTTCTTATGTCATGGGAATCCAATCTGCTAGCAAAAATTAAATCGAGACTTCAATTGTTGCCATTTTTAATGCTGTTCAATAGGGAATTCTCATAAGAAATAAATATGGTTCATTTTGTTTTTATGTAGCACATTTTCCTGTAAAATATTGAATATTAGCAGTTTTGCGTTTAATTTATCGATATTATTCTCATACGGCAATTATTAGTTTCAAATTGGAAAGTTTCGCGCGGAAAAGCTAAGTTCAACATGGCCGCTTTCGGTGACGTCAACTGTTCATAAACCAAGGTTAAGGGTAGTTTACACTAACCGTGAATAACGAACGTGGTCCACGCTTTCATGGTTCATTCTTGGGTCCTGAAGAACGATTGGTCCACAAACAGCTCACTTCACGCCACGACTGATATTGAACCACCATAAATGGGTCTATAGAAGATTGTCAGACTGCGCTTCTGTAAATCCTGTATAAATCATGACAAACTAACTAAAATACAAAATGTCACAATACAAACACCACGTAAAAACCGCATTCAATGCAGTCAAAAATAACAGCAATTCTTTCGGACAGTTTGCAAAGTGTCGGAGACTCTTGTGAGAACAGACCTTAACGTTGCATTTACAAACAGTTGACGTCACAAGTACCGACATCTTAAAAGTAATCGTTTTCGCGCCAACGGAAATAATTTGAAATTTTATATATTCTTTTTATTTTAATGAGGACATAATACAAAAGAAAACATATGTATTTTATATTTCGAAACATAAGCAATAAGAAAAAAGATAATTTGAAAAATATGATTGTTCCCTATTGCTCTAGTTCCATAAAAAACATCGAATCGATGAGTGTTTTCTCGGCCGCAGTGTGTGTGGCTTCGGGAAACAAAGTGTCATCTTCCATGATCCAATTTAAATAGGGAAGGTTGAAATCTCCAAAGACCAGGAATGTGGCGTTTCTATGTCTGTCTTTAAGTGATTCACAGATTCTTACAAATTATTTATAAATTGCTTCCGATGAGCTAGGTGGTATATAAACCACCCCAATAACTATCTCGTGACCTTCCAGAGAATCCAGAGTTGTTCAAAGTCGACGAATGAAACAGTATCTATTAAGGAGGATTGATAGTCATTATTCGTGGCAATAAGTACTCCCCCGCCCTGTTGTAAATTGGTGGCTTCATAATCACGATCCCTCCGGAAGACTGCATATTGCAATGGAAATAGTTCAGCATCAGCAAAGGAATTGTTTAACCAAGTCTCAGTCAATATGATAAAATCGTAATTGGAAGTTATTGTATTTTTGAAAAGTTCTTGAGTTTTTTGTCGTAAGGCCACCTACATTGTGATAATAGAGGCTTACAGACGACGCCGGGTCCTTATTAATAGTTTTGTTGGTTAAGTCGACCTTTTTGTCTAGAGATTCTAGGACCAAGGATTGCAGAGTGGTTACTTCTGTTGTGACGAAAGGACTGAAACTTTTTAATTTCGACATCGATTGGCCAATTCTTCGGGTCTAATAAGGACGTTTCTAAATCGTTGTTGGCCACAATTTTGAAACATTTGTAATCTCCAGATTTTGAATTAATTTATTTATTTATTTATTTATTTAGCAATAACATCTATAAAATATAATTCTGTTTCCTTAAGATTTAGGTTAATATCCTTATTAATTAATGTATAAATAATTTGATAGGAACATTGCTATTGCTAAAGATAGCAGCGCACTATTACATCTGTAATGTTGTGTGTGCGCTTTTTTTTCTGTATACAATAATTTAATATTTAAATATTTACAAGGTTTCTAACTTTTATGACAATTCTAATTACGCGGATATGCACTCCAAAATTCAAATCGGAAAAAAATAAAAAGAGATATAACCAATATGAACAACCAAGGAATCAGTCTGATGCATGCATATTGCAGATCAAATTTAAATCAGACTAACCAGTTAACAGTGAAATTTGTTTCACGTATCCACTGAGAGATGTCTCTCTTTACTCTGTGATATGGCCCTTTACGGAATTAAGTTCTTCAAGTGTGAACTGTTCCTCGTTACCAAATATATCATGTAAGTACCTTACCGTGCGTTCGTTATTTTGGTCTGAGTTCTCCGAGCTTGACTTTACCGTTCGTTTATTTGAAAAGTGTACTCGGCGCAGCCTCATTCGCGTTCGTTTATTAAAATTTCTGGCACTTTTATACAGCGTACAACTACTCTGTTCGCTCGCTGGTCACGTGATTACGGCTCCGCTCAGCACGCTCTGCTCTTTGAGCAAAATACCGAACGCAAGGTTAATACACTTTATTTTTTTCCAAAATAGATTTTGACATTGTCAGCTTTGAAACATAAACAATGCCGCTAATGCCACTTATTGGCCGCTAATGTAAAATTGATGTCAACCTGCAGAAACACCTCATTTTGCGACCAATCAGGGTCAAGCGTTATTGTTTATGTTTCAAAGTTTTCAATGTCAAAATCTATCTTGGAAAAAAACAAAGTATAAGTTATCCTTGGAAACGTCATTGGATAATTTACGAACAAAAATGGCTGTTTTGGGCAGAATGGCAGTCGCAGAAATTCCAGCACTATTTGTTGCTTTTGTGCCAGTGATTGCCGAGAATTTACGACTGTTCCGTCTGTTAGTTGGAAGCATTTCGGCATTTGATTGATGCACTGCGGTGCTCGTTTGAACGTTGAACTTTTTGTTGTTGTTGTTTATATTGGCACTTGTCGTGCTTTTTGTCACAGTATCATTATTAGTGCTGTTACTGGAACACGAGCGCTTAACTAGAGCTTTAAGGGCCGAAAACTTAGCATTAAAAACACCCGAAAGGTCGTTGTACAATTTTGTATAGAGCGCATCTCTGCTATCATGCAAAACTGCAGTTGGAGCCTGACTCAGCTTGAAAATTTCATTTTTGAGATGTTTTATTTCCAAAATGTGCTGCTCATTTTCGACAGAAAGTGTTTCGATGGAAGTTTTCATTTCTTGAATAGTTGCGAAATAGTCATCAGTTTGTGTATTAAGCTCAGCAATTTCAGCCTCTTTCGCCCTAATTTCAGCTTCAAGTTCGGAACACTTTTTATTAAGCTCCTTTGCTTCGGCCTTCTGCTTTGACAAATTTTTGATTTGGTCCTCTTTATCGCTTGGGTCAATCCTTTTACACTCTTCACTACAGCTGAAAATCAATTTTCGCTGTGCGAGGGCTAGACAGTCCATTTCGGTTATTGTCTTTGCAAAGAAAAAAAAAATCAAATCAAATTTTGCTCAACCGAAATATTACAGTCAATTGTACAAAATGTAGTACAATACTAGGCTTAACGCACCCTCAAGAATGCTGAACCCGTTTATATTATTTTTATTATTTATTTACCAAGGGTTTTTGGGTACCAAGGTTTTGGAGATAAGGCATTTATAAAGTAAACAAAGGCGACCAAAAGGTAAACAATAATATCAGGAACCAGACCAGTTGGACCGGAAAAAATATCCAGAGGGACTAAAAGATGGGGCTTGAAACTGCAAATCCAACGACACCAGACACCACTATACAGTCCAGACCAAACACACGGAATACAATGGACCTTTCTCATTTTACCTGGGCTGCGCGCGCATCTTGTGTGTGACAGATAATTAAATCGTCAATTTACTGAACACGGTCTGACCCTGACGTATTTAAGCTAACCTCAATAATCAATCAGTATCAATCAATATTGCTGAAAATTAATACAAAAACTGTTTATGATGCAATGGTTCAAATGAGTTGAATGAGTTCTTGTCAGAATTAGACGAAAAAGAAGTGAAACCTTTCTTTTCACAAGTTCCCAAGCAATCAAATTGTAAGAAAACAATAGTTACGTGCTCTCAACCCGAATGAAGACGATTTAAATTGGGACAGAGATTTGAGGGTTCGTAAAATACCGATTTTTATATTAAATACAATAATAATGTGCAATTAAAGGTTTGCTGCAAACATTTTTGCTGCGGTGGGTTTTCTTCCTAATTAATGTTAATACGTATTTTGTTATATTTACGTTTAAAAATAAACAAAAACAGAAACATAACCGAAATTGCACAATTTGACGAGTGGAACCAATCAAAGTCATTCCACACAGGTATCGCGCGTCATTATATGTGTCTTTTTCTTTATTGCAGAAATCTTAATAAACCATCCTTGTTGTTCATTGCATGAGAAAGGTCCATTTAAAAACGGAGCGATATAAAACACGACCACGCACCTTGCAATCAGTCGAGTAACAGAGTAATAAATCAATATAATTAAGATATTATTCTATGTAAAGTTTAATTTATATTTATTATTATATTTGACATATTTTGGAATACACATGTCCCAGTGTCGTTTAGGAGATATTTTTTAAAAATTTTAAACAATTATTGTCGCATCGCCCAGGCGAATAAACATGAAGAAATCTTTTCGAAATTTCGTTCCGACAACCAGTATTTCATTTTGCCGATTGTAGTTCCTAGTAGGGAATATTCAAAACATTTATATACGTTTTTTGAGTATTTATTCACGCCAAAGGTGCCTAATATTTGATTGTACCTTATACATAGCTTGAAAATAAAGTGGTTTAATTTAGAATAGATAAACTATATATGGGGTTTAAATTAACAGTTGAAATATAACTTACCTCTGCTGATTCCTTAGGTGTTAAATCCCTCAATATACCTTCCAATCTGGCATTTAGTTCTTTTTTCAATTGCTCCTTTTTCCTCACCAATTCGCCCACTATATTTTTCCTAGCAGTATGTATGATTCCCATACTGTGGAACCTAAAAAAGATGATGAGTTTTGTTTATTGAAAAACAAAAAAAAAAATGGAAATGTCTTACGTTGCAATAAATCCTTCCTCAGGTCCAACTTGTAGATCGTGAGGATCTTCCATTTCGTTTTTGCCTTTTTTCATTATAAGTTTATGTGGATGGGGCTTGAAATCTTCATCAATATTAAATTGATATATTGAACATCTTACTTCAGCATTTTCAGGACAATTTACCAACTAAAAAAAAAAACAAACATTAAAATTGTTTAATTTGTCATTGGGTTATTTATCAGTATTATTTATTATTACCTCAACAGTAGGATAAGTCTGTTTTCTTGACTTATCCGAATTCATACCACTAAGACTGCCATGTGTTCCAGCCATTTCAGACTTGTATCTGAAGCGAAACTTATTTGTTGGTTGCTCAATAAATCTTAAATATGGGGCTGAAACAGTTGTTGATCAGGTTTAAATTTAGAAATTTAGTATTGACCAATAATGAACCTACCATCTTTATTATCCGTTTCCATCATGTTTCCTTCAGCAGATAAAACGTGGGCATGAAAATAGGATTGGCTCGTTCCAGGCGAAGGAACTGAAAAATTGCTGGAACCAGGTGAAGATACAAAATACACCGGTTGCGGAGAATCACCACTACTGGATGGAGGTGTTGGGAATGTGGCCATACCTGAAATTACACATTTTAAATTTTTTAAGAATAATATGGAAAATCAACACAATCAAAATCACTCTGAATACAAAAAAAAATGGGACTGGATGCTCGTCCGATAATCGGAATAATAGTGTTTTTGTTTCTATTCCGATTATCGGGTTACTAGTTTATTTTGTTATTGTTCCGCAAAATGTTCACTTATCATTTTTGGACTAATAGCATTTAACGCATATTATTCCGAACATTTTTATATTTTTAGAAAAAAGTAGTAAGTAAAAACTACTATCATGATAAGATTGCAGCCCAGTTTATACGAGAACATTACTTTAAGCCCTAGTCAGGCACTATTCTCGGAAAACAACTATATTATTTATTTATTTATTTATTAACGTATCAACATTTACAGGTTTACAAGTGAACATAAACTAACTAACCTAAAATAGCTCTTTTTGCATAACTCTTAAATTTTTTATGGGAAACATTAAAGAATTCTAATGATTCACAAAACTTATTCACATTCACTGATACTCTGTTAACAGGACTATACAATAAGTACCAAGAATTACAAATTGGTATATGCATCAAGGTCTGCCTACGTGTTGGATATCCAGGTATACGAAATCGAAAAGTTTCCAAACATTCTGGACTCTTGATATAGTAGTTTAGAACATTAAATGCAAAGCATATGTCATAGTATTCTCTTCTGTGAACAAGAGATGCTAAGTCTAGGTATAACATAGTCTGATCATTATCAAGTTCAATACCATTGCAAAAAAGTTTATATTTAGCATATTTTTAAAATATAAAATATTATTTTATAAATTTAAGTTGCACATTTTCAAGTCTATTTATATGAACCTGATAATATGGCGACCAAATTATGTTTGAAAATTCAAGGATGGATCGAACCAGCGATGTATACAACACCTTCAGAGCAAACACACTCCTAAAGTCTTTACTGGTTCTTTTGATAAAACCTAATATTCTATTAGCCCTACCTACTATATACTCAAAGTGCTCGATGAACGTAAGTTTAGTGTTCAAGTAAACGCCAAGGTCCTTAACGACAAATACCTCAGCAAGAGCAACGTGATTAATGGAATATTCCACAGGTATAGTATTCATCAAGCGGGTGAAGCGCATAAAGCAGCATTTGTCGATATTAAGTGACATGTCGTTGAGGTTACACCAATCGTATACAATGTCCAGATCATTTTGCAGAAGAAGAATATCACGAGTTGATGATACTTCCCGAAATATCTTTAGATCATCCGCAAACATCAGAAAATTGGAGGAAAGTAGATGGCCCAGGTCATTGATGAATAAACTGAACAAGAAAGGTCCCAAATGAGATCCCCGAGGAACCCCAGATGTGACATCGAACTTATCCGAGAGATAACCATCAATTCTCACCTGCTGAATCCTACCTGACAAATAAGACTCCAACCAAGAAATCAAAGTACCCGCAATGCCATAACCGGACAACTTTGAGAGTAGAAGAGCATGATTGACCTTATCAAAGGCCTTACTAAAGTCAGTATGTATATAGTATGTATCTCACAACCGTTGTCGAATGATCTATTGATAAAGTTAGTGAATAGAAACAAGTTGGTATCAACGGAGCGGCCGGAGGTGAATCCATGTTGCTGATTTACTATGACTTGATGGAAGGCAACCGACAAAACTTTTTCTATACAGTGCTCAAATAGCTTGGGTATTGCTGAGAGGATACTAATTGGTCTGTAATTAAACACATTGTTCCTGCTTCCTGATTTGAGGATGGGACAAACATATGACAATTTCCAGACTTTCGGGAACACTCCAGAGATAAGAGACTTGGAAAATATGTAATAGAGGGGAAGATACAGAGAATGGGAGCAAAGTTTTAACACTCTGTTTGGGATTCCATCAGGTCCCTCTCTTTTATTTATGTCGAGTTCAGAGAGCGATTTTTCAATGTCATATGCAGTGATCTGAATGTCTGAAATTGATTGAAAGGTGTGTGTTGAAGAAACGGAAGAAACATTTGCATCAGAAATGGTTTTAGGATTATAAACTGATGAGAAGAAATCAGCAAAGAGATTGGCTATGTTATAACCATTATCAGCCTTATTTGAGCCAGAAAACATTTCCCTAGGGATGGAGCCTTGATTTGACTGCGAACGAACAAAGTTCCAAAAGTACCCAGCATTCTCCTTGATTGAATCTTCAGTGTTTGTTATAGTCCAGGAGGCAGTGAAATTTTTTAGCACTTATTTTCCCAGTTGGTGGCTTTTGAATAATTTGTTCTCCTGGTGATACAAAGCAAGAATTTTTGAGTCTGGCTAAAATTTTCGGATGGGTTCACAAGATCAATGAAAAATACAAGTACGCCTATTTTCCCAGACATAAATATTTCACATTTACTACAATAGTACATGAAAATAGCAATTTGGCTTATCTCAGATAGTGAAAGTGAGTCTGACTGAAAATTTTCGGATCTTCAATTTTTCACTTGCCAGATATATTATCCATACTCACAAATTAGCCGGACTATTTTTTTACGTAACTTAAGTATATTTTTCATTAGTAGACCCATTTTTATCACTGAGAAAAAAAAGGACCGGGCATTCGTAAGCTTTAACGCATTTTGCGCCTCAACCCATCGGAAAACCCCCCCCTAAAAATATATGTATTTTGCTTAGAATTACTAACCTTACAATTCTATCCATATTGTCTGACTGGGAAAATAAGTACCGAAAATCGTCACTGCCTCCTAGACTATTATGTAAAGACTAGCATTCCTTGGACAGGGATAAGCATTGTCTGCGAAGCAGAAAAAATAAGTTATAATCCATAATGTTGATTTGAGCATGGCTATTTTATAACGAAAAAGCAGCCAGTCAAGTAATTTAACATAATTTCTTTAGGGCCAAATTATGGACCAAATGGTAAGTGTTTGGTTGTTACCTAGCAGGTACTTTCTATTATCTCTAGCATAGAAAGTACCTGCTAGGTAAAAACCAGACATTTACCAGTCAGTCCATAATTTGGCCCTTATGGCATTTAAAAATAAGTATCTGTTTACCAGCAGACACGCAGTTTCCATATGAAACCAAAAAGGGTGTTATATCAAGGTTTGTTAGGATGGGAAAAAGTAGTAGAAAATCCGATTATTTATAATTAGGCAATCCAAACCACGTGACTTTTCATGGCATCTGGTTGGCAAACAAAGGATGGTTTGCATTGAACCACTAATCAATAATCCGTCATTGAATCTGTCACATTCAGGTAGAATTTTATCATTTTTCTTTGAACCTTTGAAATAGTATATTGTGTAATAGGTTTTGAAAAAGGCTCTTTGCACACGGGTGTGACGGTTTATTGCTACGAGCCGTAGGCAAGTGCAATAAGTCACATGAGTGTGCAAAGAGCCGATTTCAAACGTGTTGCACACTATACTTTTTCTACGACTGCATATCACAAAATAAAATACATTCTTTGTAAATGTATTTATATTTCCAACAATATTATTTAATGACAATAAAAGATGAACAAGTTTTCTATTTTTTACATCTTTGAAATAACAATAAAATTGAATTACTTATTAAAGTTATAATTATTGTGTTTTATCCTCAGCGACCAGAGAGTGGACAACTTATATTTCTTCTAAAGTTCTTCAAAATAGACTAGCGCCGCATTTTCAGAAAAGGATTTAATATTTTTGTTGTCCCTCCAAACCATAAACTTGTTATATGCAGTTTCATACCGTTCTCGAGATTTTTCAGGTAATAGGTTCAACGATATATGTGCGGCTTGCTGCGTCAGTTCGAAAGGATCGGTGGATTTAATGGTTTGCTCCATTACCCGAAGATTAAGGAAAAAATTAAAGGAAATGATATTTAAATTGAATTACTTTTCAAACAATATGACATGACGAATATGTTACGTCAGAGACAATGTTGACAATGTTGTTGTCTCTGGTTACGCGGCGACAACCAGATATACGGAGATTCACCTTAAAGGTAATCGTGCGCAAAGATTGCACACTACAAAATTTGCGCACGGTGTGTGCAAAACGTCACTTTCAGATTCACTTTGGCGTGCGTTTTTTAACGTTTTACATAGCAGTCGTAGAAATTAGTTATTTATGATATAAGTGCTAAAAGTGACATTTTATTTTGTGAAAAGGGAAGTTTATTCCATCCCTTTAAACAAAATAAAATCACTTTTAGCACGAATATCATACACTATTTTTTCTACAAACTCACTAAAAGTGATTACTTTTAGCACTAGTGCTAAAAGTAATCACTTTCAACACCAGCGTCATAAAATGACATTTTAGACACTGATAGCATCCGTTAAAAATGACAGTTTTAGTGACGTTTGTAGAAAAACAATGTTTTTTGTTTATTGTTTGCCAACCAGGCACCTTTTTTGACAGGTTGTTAGATTGCCTAATTAGAGACCAAAAATTCCATTGTAGCACAATGTTGAGAAACAACCCCTATAGTTAAGGGCGGCAAGAGCGCGGAAGAGGAAAGTTTCTGACTCCGGTGTTTTTACACCCCTCAATCCTGAAAAAAATCAGTTTGCCCCTAATTTTTTTTCACAGCTTCCGAAAATACAATTATCTTTAACTAATATTATGATTCACGAAGTAATTTCCTTGATTTTCGCATGTCTTTGCTAAGTGATTTAAATCCGTGTTTAAATCTTTTACCACCGAGTTTACCACCTTGATGCCAAGTATATTCTACTAGGTAGTATACCAATTCTACCTTAGCCTGTTGGCATTTTTTCGGACAACTTTTTGCAATTGTTTGCAATTTTTCAGCATCTCTTTTATATAGGGATATTAGTAACTCCTTTTCAACTGTCTTCAAGACTCTAATAAAAGTCCTCGAAAATTTGACCAAAAAACAGAAACTAGAAATAATTAATAGGGATATGATTCATGAAAAAAAGGATTTGGATGATCGCCACATTATTGAAACCTTGAATGAAGACATAGAACAACTTCAATATGACCTAAAATTGAAGGAAAACCACATCAAGAGACTTGAGCGGGGCTCCCAAATACTTACTGATGAGGCCGAAGCAGTTGAAGAAAGCTACCATCAAAAGACTAGTCAGCTTTCCCAGACCATCGAAGACCTGAGAGCTAAACTTTCCAAAACCGATAAAGTAAAACTGGATATTGAGAAAATGACTAGAAGCCACAAAAATGGACTTCAAAACAAAACACAGCAGATTAATGAACTAATTAAACAAAATCACGCCCTAATAGAGAGAATTAACTCTCTAGAAAAGCAAAACAATGAATTAGAACTATCAGTTGATACGCTAAAACAAAAAGCAACTTGTTTTGCGAATAACCAGACACTTCCGCCCCACCGAAACAGCAATTCCACCCAAAATGTTCCGTTGCCTGAATCAACTATTGCAGCAAATGGATGCGGCGATAAAAAAAAAAAATACTTATACTCTCAGATGACCATGGAAGGAATTTAGACAAGAATATTGCAAAACACCTACACTTTGGTCACTTCAATATTCAATCCATTATCAAACCTGGAGCTCACTTCGACAACGTCTTATCAGAACTGGACTCACATACTAGGAACTTTGATGCGAATGATTATGTAATCTTGATTGCCGGTTCTAATGACTTTCTCAATAACAAACGACCCAAATATAGCACGATTCATGAAACGATAAAACATTGCTTACATACCAATTTCATATTTTTAGCCTCTCCAATGGTACAAAAAAATAAAAACAATGATTACATAAGACATTTTAACATAAATTTAGAAAAGGTTGTGAGAGCTCTTAATAACGTTTCTGATACTAATTTTGATTTTGTGGATGTTAACACTGACAAGGGATACAAAGCGAGGAACTGGCTGATTGGTAGAATGGTCGCTGAATCCATCCAGTTAAACTGCTTACAAACTCAGCTGTCACAGCAAATAAGCAGAAAATCGTTATCAAACCAATCGACCATCTTGCCTATTGACAGATCCTCGCACAATAGATCTCCACAGGCACCAAACAGAACCATAAATATCTGCGAATTGAATAATACTACTCATTCTGTTTCTCTATTTGAGGAGCTGAGCAACAGCTGTAATCTGGGTGGGGAATCCATGGTTTGTAACAGTACTAGTCTAGATCCCAGCTACTCTGTCTCTTTTTTAGGGAAGAAACTAGACCAAATAAAAGATCCCCCCTGTCCCAAAAACCAAACATCATAAATCTTATGCTTCTTAACATCCAGTCGGCTAGAAATAAAACAAACGATTTATTTATTTATCTAGAAAGTAAAAATTTTCCTCATATAGTCTTGCTTACTGAACACTGGCTAAAAGATTCCGAACCACTATCTATCCCAAATTACTATACATTATCGAAATTTTGCAGACATGAATTTGAACATGGGGCACTGGTATTCTGATAAGTGCTGAATTGGCTGAGAACAGTGACCTCTGTAATTGCAGCAAGTACGATTTTCTCATAATCGAGAAGATCTTTGAATTCTCCCTGCTTTATTCCAAATCCTTAGATACCTATGTCATATGCATTTACCGCGCTCCAAACACCAACATTGCCAATTTTATTGAAAACTTTGAAATTTTATTAACCAAGATTCCAATAAAAACCAAACTCATAATTGCTGGAGACCTCAACATCGATTTCGGAGATCCAGAAGCACAATCTACTATTTTACTCACTGGTCTTCTAGAATCTTTTAACCTCAAGATGCATGTTAAAGAACCCACACGAATCACAAACAATTCTTCCACAACCATAGACTATGTGTGCTCTAATCTGGATAGTGAAGTTGAAGTTGACTGCTATACAGACGATCCTGCGCTGTCTGATCATCAAGCTGTATTAGCTTCTTTTCCACTTTCAACCAAAGCCACAACTCATAAAAATCGCGGGAGGATTTTCAGTAAAAGAAACTTCACTCACTTTAGGCAAGTGTGCAGTACTGCTGACTGGAATAACACATATACTACGAAAGACCCGCTTCAGTCCTTTCATCTGACACTTACTGAAATTGTAAATAAATCATTTCCTCTCCGCCCGCTGCGAAAAAGAAATAATCAAAAATACTGGGTTTTTAAAGGTCTGAGAACATCCGCGGAAAATCTAAGGTCTCTAAATATCATTAGAAAACATTTTAACAATGATGCCTTTATTTATAATTACTACCTTCTCTATCGTAAACACTACAGAAAACTAATACACGACGCGAGGACACTATTCTACAAGAACCGCATACAAAATTCATCGAATAGTTCTAAAGAGACTTGGAATGTTGTCCGAGACTTAACTGGAAAAACTAATGCTCAATCCCAACATATAGATATTGAACCGAACACTCTGAACAATCATTACTGCTCGGTTGCAACGAACCTAGTTAAAGATATCCAATCTGACACCGATCCCTTATCATACGTCGAACATCTACGCGTACCAGACTCATTTTCATCTATACCAACAAATACCACTGAACTTAAATTGACAATAAAATCCATTAAAAATAAAAACGCAGCTGGTTCAGATGGCTTATCTGCTAAAATCTTGAGTGACCTCCCTGATCAGGCATTACAGGTTTTGTCTTATGCCATAAATAAATCATTTCTGGAGGGATCATTTCCATCAAGTCTAAAGAAAGCTACGGTAGTTCCAATTCACAAAAATGGGGACAAAAAATCCTGCAAACTATCGGCCCATCTCATTATTGTCAACAATATCCAAAATTGTTGAAAAACTTGTTAAAAAACGCATGATGGATTTTCTGATGTGCCATGATGTCTTCAATAGTGCTCAGTTTGGCTTTCTTCCCAGAAGAAATACACACGACGCAATGCTTAAAGTAATGGAGCAACTTTTCAGACATTACAATAATGGCTATGCTACTGCAGCGGTGTTCTGTGACTTTTCCAAGGCTTTTGACTGTGTGTGTCACAGAGCACTGCTGCGAAAGCTGGAAGCTTACGGTTTCAGGGGAGTGGTCCTAAATTGGTTCGAGTCCTTCTTAACCAACCGCACTCAGAGTGTCAGGGTGAACGGCGAATGTTCCACTAGCCAGGTTATTGACCACGGAGTACCACAGGGTTCGGATTTAGGACCGATCCTGTTTTTGCTCTATATTAATGACTTATTACAGATAGACATATCAGGAGTATTTGCTGCATTTGCCGATGATGCAACGATTTTGTGGCATGGAAGGGAATTGCGAGAGTTGGTTCGGATAATCTTTCAAGATCTGGTTAAAATTAAACACTGGTGTGACGCAAATGGGCTTCTTTTCAACTTTAACAAGACTCAAGTACTGGGTTTTCGCTGTAATATGGATGATATTGTATGTGATCAGTTCTTAATTAAATCTTCCACAAGTACTAAATTTCTTGGACTTCAGATCGACGTCAGTCTAAAATTCCAATCACATATCTTATCACTAAGCAAAAAAACTCGCTTCAGGGTGTTATTGTGTTCGAGCCGTAGCTACTCACTTAGGTTCACAAACTGCAAAATCAGTCTATCATGCAGTGTTTGAGTCACATCTTGCATACGGCTTACCTTTCTGGGGATGTTGCAGTCAATACTTGTTTGACTCTGTTTTTAGACTGCAAAAAAGATCGATAAGGTTCATTACATGTGCCACGATAAGAACTCATTGTAGACCACTATTTGTACTTCATAAAATCCTTACTCTTCCCTCACTGTTCATTCTAGAAACTGTTAGTCTAATACATAGAAATCTTCATCTGTTTCCAACTACCCAGAGATCTCGCACCACACGTCAAACAAACATAAATGCTCTACCTCTTCCTACTCCTCATACCACACTGGTACAAAAATCAATTATTTACAACAGCCTAAAGATTTATAATCACTTACCTGATATTATCCATGTCGGATCTTGGCAAGTTCCGAAAAGCACTAAAGGAAATTTTGGTTGCACAAGCATTTTATTCTATTGAGGAATTTCTTAATTTCTCCTTCCGTGAAACAAGGACCTAAGTACTGAAAAGCTATCTATTGAACCCCACCTGTTGTTCATTGTGTGATAGTGTTTTCCTTCTGTATGAGTTTACGAAAACTTTCCAATATATTATACTAATTACCTAAGTACTGTACAAATCAACATAATCTAAGGGAACCTAACCTATTTCAAACCATAAATAATTTTCGGAATAATATGAGTAAATCCTAATAGTCCGAAAATAATATATTAAGTGGTAGGCTCGGTGATAGGTAAATTCCTAAATTATTTTGCGGAATAATAACAAAAGAAACTAGTAGCCCGATAATCGGAATAGAAACAAAAACACTATCATTCCGATTATCGGACGAGTATCCAGGCCGAAAAAAAAAACTTTATTTTTACCAGTAGTATACCTGTATACCACACTAGTGCGGAAAAGTGGTACTTTCATGACCTAAATGCGTGCGGAACAGTAAGTTTTCTCACACGCTTATGGAAAACAGTGTTTTTCAGACTTTTTTCTTTAAATTGCATTACCTGAATTTAATACAAACAAGCAAATATTTGCAATATCTATCTAATGGCTGGGCTATTAATCAAGTTCAGATAAACTTACTGGGAACAATATTTTTCACAGAAGCACTATTAATAATTTGAAGGGGATTAATCAACCCTGTTGAATCATCAGGTAGTTCATTCATTATTTCCAATAAACAGAACAGAATAAACGATTCACTGAAATATAACTTTTTTAAAAAAATACAATAAATATAGGTACTAACTACACTTCACGACATCCAAAATTGTCTCAAATTTAAACAATAATAATCTGAGACTGTATTTGTTAGGCAATAATAGAATAATAAACAAGTTACAAGTTGGTGTATGTGTATGAAATGAAGGAATGGGGATTTTACTAACCTTGCGTGACGATTAAGTAAATTTATTTCCGGAATACTGTATTTCCCCTCGGTAAATGCGACGTAGGGAAATTACACAAAAAATACCATGAATGAATCATGGAATTAATGCATAAACAGTAAAAAAAAAAAAAACAAAACATCTCAATTTCATACATCGTTCGCAATGTCAACTGTCAACCCGCTATGATGGTTTATCCTTTAGTTCTTTTCACGTGACTCCGGTTTAATTAACCGGGTTACAAAACGGTTAGAGAGATGATATACTGTTTTCTAACCCGGTTACAAAGTGACGTGATGGATACCTATACTTGGCCGAACATAAAACTGGGGCAATATATATGTTTTAAATTTGCCTAGTGTGAGTCAAGCTTAACAACAAAAAATTTGTTCTGAAAAACTTAGGTCAGACAGTTTTTGTCAACGTCAAACCTGAACAAAAGTAAATGCAACATGTTTTTATGTTATGATTGGTTTAAATATGACACTGACTTGACTGTTTTTGTCATTGTGTATCACTCGAATTTGAGCGGTATGTTGCGGTTTGTTAAACCGGAACCACGTGAAAAGGGCTTTTGGGTTCTGCATTGCTCTCTCTGCACTACTCTTTCTACACTACACTTTCTGCACTATTTTTTTTACACTTTTCACAAACCAGTGAGAGCGAATTTCATTCGTCGCGTTCACCAGCACTCAACTTGTTAAGTGATTAGTCAGCGGCTTTGTTGAAAACAGATGAAAATCAGCTCTAGGCCAATCAAAACTCTTCTACCTTGTGAATTCCACTTTTTGAAACAATGCCACTTACTAATCACTCAACATGTTGATTGCTGGTGAACGCGACCATTGGTTGAAAATAATCAGAATACTAGAACCGAATTTTCGCGACGAACTACTTCCATGATTTCATGAGCACAACCGCTTTCGCGAGAAACTTATGACGTCATATTGAACGTAGTTCAACGGACGCAAGTACGCAACTTCTAGCTACAGTGACTCTGCCTTCAAACTCATGACGTCACAAAACGAACTATGGTTCGTCCTTGATGAACTACATTCGTCGCGAAAATTCGGTTTAGTTTCAGCCAATGAACTATAGTTAAAAACTAGAATGCGCGCCTGTAGACAATGTCAACGTAAACAATTGATTGTCTACGCGTAGACAATTCGAATTGTTTACGTGGGCATTTGTCTACACATTGTCTACATGTGGCGTAAACAATAAACCCATTTTAGAAAATTCAAAAAAAGATCCAAAACTACTACTACCCAAGTAGCTAATACCTATCACTTTGATATCAGCATTCACTGATTATAAATATGAGGAAAATCGATAATAAAATAAAATTAATTTTCGGAAAGGAAAGTGTGAGGTTAGAATTACTACATTGTCTACCATTGTCTACACGTAAAGTAGACAATTAAAGTCTACGTGTAGACGCACATCCCTGATGCGCACACATTGCCATATCTGCCAAAAAAATGTAGCCATGAAAGATAGATGCCACAAGGGGGAATGTTGTTTTTTTCTGTTGCTCGCTGACATATGACGTTTTCGTAAGTTTTGTCATATTTCCCTTCACAGGTTTCATCAATTGGAATACGTGTTGGAAGCAATTTTCGACATTTAATATAATGAGTGCGACAAAAACAGATATCCCCTCCGCAGCAGCCGCACTAGGCTTCAAGTTCGTCCCTATGTGTTAGCATTCCAGTTTTTGGTTATAGTTCATTGGTTTCAGCCAATAGAAGATTTCAGTATTTTTCAGATTTTACAAAAATCAATAGGTTTTGCCTTATAAAAGCCTCCTACGACCATATAATCAATTAAATATAATTAGTTAGTAGTATTGATAGCCATTCCTGCATTTAATAAAATTAACAAGACGGTTGAGTATGACACTTATTTTTCATGAAATGATAAATTATGAAATACATAATAAATAGGGCAATTATATTCTTCGGAAAATCCTCATTTGTATTAATGAACTATTCAATACACACTATAAATTATGGACTAATAACACGCGCTGTCACCTGTAGAGACTAATAACACACTGAATATATTCGTGTCTTTTTCTACCAACTTATGTAAGAAAGAGATAAATATACATTTTTTTCTGCACTGATTCTACCAATAGAATTCGCTATCATGACAATACCGGCCGGCGGGAATTCTCGATACCAGCGCTGACGTCATGACCAATGAGAGCGCATTTCTTGAATTTAATAAATAAGCATATTTCTTTTAGTTTTCTTTGCTAAAACGTATACAATAGAGCTGTTTCATTATTCAAAACATATTTTTGATAACATTTTCGACTATTTTTTGATGTTTGTACGGAATTTAATTTTTTTGTGAAAGAATGCCCTTAGCCAATGAAATTCACTCTAACTGGTTTCGTAATTTTTGTGCGAACAGACCTGTTATTAGATATTAGCCGCCTCTTTAAACACTAGTCCAATAGCCCCGCTGAAATAATCGAGACGCAAGACCGTCAAATTGTCGAAGCAATGTCAGGAATTTCGCGCAAGTTAGAATGAGACCTTATGGGTCCAAGGAGGTCGAAAATAATACACACTACAAGTACAGGATGGCCTATCCTCATCGCCTGTGTGTAACAAATCCCCTCCACTCCAAATTACCAATTGTGACATAGGCAGCATGTTATTTCTCGCCTTGACGTAGGCTGTTTAAACAGCTGACGGCTGTTATGACATCGAAAATGGTAGCACCGAATATGACGGCGATTACCAAAAACTAAGCAATCCTTGTAGGTGTGTATCATCCTTGCAAACAGCCTACGACAAGGCGAAAGAGGAACATGCTGCCTACGTCACTGTTAGTGATTTGGCGTGGTGGGGAACTTCGGATTTGTTCCACACAGGCCTTATGAGGATAGGCTATCCTGTATTAGCAGTGTGAATTATCCTTGTTAATGCAAATGGAATGCTAAGGGCCGGTTTCTCAATAGCGACTCACCTCCGGGTTGGTCTTAACTCCACGGTTAACGTGTTAAATTACAATGTTTATCCTGGATTTAGCTTAGCCTGGAACAGTCAGAGTAGAATTACTAAAACCCAAAATTAATTTTCAAATCAGACTACTGTTATATAGGCTATTCATTTGTACTGCTTTTCTTGCTTCAAGCATCTCCAGCAGCTGACCAGCGTTCATTTGTCCCATAACTCCCATATAATAAGCTCATAAATAGCAGCTCCTAGCAGAACTTTCTGATTTTTCGAGCAGGTAGCAAATACAAAGAACAGCCTAATAGTGAATAAAGTCTGTGTAGTAAAATAGTTCATAAGAGTAGTTGGAAGAGTAACAATTAGAGCAGTGCAAATAGAACAGAGTTAGTGCAAATTAAACAAAAATTAAAGCAATTGGAACACATGGAGTAACTGGAACAATCGATCAATCGTACCCTTCCAGTGGCAGCAAATATCCTGTTAAGTTCCCCAAAATTTTGTAGAGGGCGCGAGTGAACTTGGAGTGCTTTGAATTTTGGTGGTAAATGTCAATAGTTCTATGGCCGTTTGCACCGACCATTTTAAGGAAGCCTTAGCGTTAAGTATCTCTTAAAATGACATTTCTCCATATAAAAATGTCATTTTAAGGAATACTTATCGCTAAAGGCTTCCTTAGAATAGTCGGTGCAAACGGCCATTAAACCGTTTAAATTGAGTAGAAGGCAAGATGACTACATATGAATAATGAACAATGAATAAGTTAAAATATCTTTTAAAACGTTCAGTAGCCCCTAAAGAATATTTTCAAAAGTGTCAGTGTCAGCTTGTCTTGAAATCACACATCAAACTTGACTTTTGAGGTTAAAATTACTTCCGATTATTCACGCGCCAAAATTTAAAGAGCTCCCAAGTACAGCAGCGCCCACTTCAACTCAACTGTCAATATTACATGCCGTTACCGATGACGCACTGTGTATACTCCCCTAACGCGATCGGAATGTTCGTAACGGTTGAAAACTGTTGCCCCTTCAGCTAAGAATTCAGAAATAAAATATCAGACTCAGTATAAAATATTGAATTATATAAAATATGTAATATTAAAATACCTATAACTACGTAATTATTATTAAAGTATCTGAAAAAAAAATTACAACCAATACAATATTAATTATTATGTACTTTCCTTAGGATAATAAAACTATTGAAAACATCATTTCCAATAATTCTATTGATTTCCTATAGGATATAGAATTTATTTAAAAATTAAAATTAATAAATAAATAGATACAATTTAATCACAATTGGCTATCTTAGAAACGAAACAACAACGACTGGAAGTTTTATTAAAGTTAATGACGTTTATTTCACGCGTTGTATCCAGATACTAAAGTGGATTAATAATACTGAAATAAACACCCAGGATTAGAGAGTTTATCGGGATCGGAGTACTCAATCCAATCCTCCAAATTTGTAGGATTGTAGCAAACAGTCTATAGATCTGATTACTAGCCCGAAACCCTGCACACTCAGCTTTGTAGTTGCCGCAAAGCCAATTTTGCAGCAGCTTTTTTGGCCATCAATTTGTTTGATCCAAATCCATACACTAGTTGCTTTCTACCGTCCAACATAAACTGGAGTGGGACCACTACTTTGCTAGAACTGGCCTCAACAGGAAGTCTAAAAACATTCAAAGTTTCAGAAATAGTTGCTAAAAATGTAAGCAATGACTTACCCAAAATTTGGATGCGGGTCTGGGCGCCACTCGTACAGTTTCCTGACCAAATTTATTGGCACGTTTGAGCTGAAAGTTTCAATTTCTTTCCACATTAGCCTGTGGAACACTTTCCATGTGACTTCCAAATCCTTGCCGGAATCCAGATAAATTGCCCCAGCTAGGGCTTCAAAAACGTCACCCAGAACCTGATTGTAAAAATTGTTATACATACAATATAGTCCGTTTACAAACTTACTTTAGGTACATCAACATACTCCGCCAATTTCATACCAGCCTCATCCTCCTCCAACAAAATCAACACATCTTCATCCATTTTCAACTGCTTTGAATCCAGATATCCAGCAAAACGATCAATCATACTTTGAAGTTTTATATTGATCATCAATAGATATTTATGCAAATTATATCTGACAACTAAATTGGCAAAAGTAATATTATTTACTAGAGCCGAACGTAAGTCGGTTAATTCCCCTGGACTTAAATTCCCACACGATTCAAAAATGTGACAGGTGATTAAAAAGTCCAAAATGGCATCTCCTACAAATTCTAACTTTTCATAAGATTGTGTGACTCTATTGGCAGAGTATGAGGAATGGGTTAGAGCTTGCAACAAGTAGCCCCTGTTTTTGAAATGATATCCCAAAATTTCGTTTTCAATTATTTGCCAATCAGGAATATGATAATTTATATCTTTTATGGAGCTTGCATCATTGAGGATTGGATTTGGAGGCTCTGCTCTAAGCATTTGAAGTAAATTTTCAGATTCTGGAATTATGCCCATCCATTCAAGAAATTTAATTCCGCCCATTATACCACAGGTTTTGAAATAGGCTCCCAACAAAGCTTCGACGCAATCTGCGATTTTCTTATCTCCAATATAATTGCACTTGAAAGAGGGTGCGACCAGCTGTATTAAGCCTTCCTCACTAAGATCTTCCTCAGATTGGACTTCCATCATCGTATTAATAGTTGCCTTAGATAATTTTCCAGAAATTTGTTCTTCGCGCGGTATGGAAAGTTGAAAGAGGGAAGCCAACGAGGTTTCCTTCTTCTCTATCCTACTCTCCAATATATCGGGCACTTTAAAACCGGGACTCAGCCAGTCGTTTTTTTGGAAATCGTTCACTTTCATGATACCACCAATATTCTTTCGCGTGGCTAGATAGTAGAGATTTTTGTTGCTCACTAGGCGACCCTTCAAGCTTGTTGCGAGACCTTCCGTGAATTGAGGAAACCTCATAAATATGTAGAGCTATAATCAATAGGTAAATTTTTGAAATCATAAACTCGAAAATTACTTACTGAACTAAATAGTTTCAAAAATGAGTCTCCTAACGTCTCCAAACGCTCCATATTGACCACATCGTTGGCTTCAGCTGTGGTCATCGCTTTATAGATAAGACATAGCTCTGGTCCGACTCGTAGGTCCTTCTCCTTGATCAACTCGATGCGTTTTTCTTGGTAATCTTTGAAGTAAGTTAACGCCAAATGTTCTCTTTGATTATTTGTCATAGAGTTTTTTAGGATCATATCTGACGGGCCGACTTTTTTGCACATAAACAACTCGTAATAATCAATGTCGAATAAAGTTACATTTAAATCTCTCTCAATGTCTTTGGGCTCTTCTGAGGATTTCCAAGGGTATTCTCTGTCTAACATTTTTTTCATGTGATCCTTGTTAACATTTATCTGTGTCAATGATGGCACGATTATATTTTCTTTGGGCTCAGAAACCAATACATTAACAGTAGTTTGTGGTGTTTCTATATGCGCCTCATAGTCCAGTAAATATTCGTCTAGTTCTAGAGGTTGCTTTAAATCTTGCTGATCGTCGCCTATTTTCATTTCTCTTACCATTTTTAAACGAAATTCTTCGAGGCGGAACAAGTAAGAGTATCTACAGGAAAATGAAATTATGAAAAATAAAAGTCAGTATATATTAGATAGTACCTGGAAATGAGTGTAGGCAATAAATGAGCTTGAATCCAAAGCGTCGCGTGAAAATCGTGTTTCACCACCAATTCAGGAATCAAATAAATATCTAACTCTTCATAAATCTTTTCCCTTTTACGTTTATTCTGAACGCCAAAGGGCTTTGTGAAATTGATACGTTTGCTCAAACGTTTCACGTACAAAAGTGGCTGGTTGGGATTCAAAATTCCAACGTTGTGCTTGTCCTTGTAGTACTCTTCGTAAGTAGCATATTGTTCATTGGGAAATTCGCTTTTTGCGCTTTTGTTCAAGGACACTTCGGTAACTAAATAACTCTGAAAATAAATACGGGATTTAGTCCAGAGAAAATGTAGAACAATAGATTATTTTATTTTATTCAGTTCCTTCAACTATACAGGGTGATTTACGTAGCCGAGGGGTGTGCAAATCATTCAGTAAGGGGTACGGTTTGGGATTCAGTACCTTTCAGTATAATTCAGTACCATTTGGTATCGTTCAGCATTCATTATTTCAGTATTTAATATTATTAAGTAGGTACTATTAAGTATCATTTAGTACTTCTTAGTACCATATCAGTATTTTCCAGTATCATTCAGTACTCGATTCAATATGATTCAGTATTTATTTATTTGACATAAGTCAGTAATATTAAGTCTTTTTCAGTATTATTCAGTATTCTTTAGTACCTCTCAGTATGGTTCAGTACATTTTAGCACGTTCAGTAATTTTCATTATTCAGTACTTAACAGAATCGGGAGTTTTTGACAAAGTCCGTCACGAGTCAACCAAAGACAAGAGATCAGGCGTATTCTTTTTTTCACCGGTGGACCTACCGACGAGTAGTCTATCCGAGAGTCTATCTTTGTCTCGTACATCGAAATAACTGACTCATAATGATGGATAGATCGATGAAAAAAGTAAACGCCTATGGTGTAGAACGACGCCGACGGTGGCGCAGTAGTCGGCACGTTTTGCTTTTGTTTTAAGGTAAAGTACCCAGTTGTTGACATGTTAAGGGTATCCTTGCTTATGATCACTGATCACCACACATTTTTCAAATTTCCAAGCCCAAGGCTTTGATATATTTTTTGGCGTGATTTCAAACTCATAATTAAATGTTTGGATATATTATTTACCCTATATTCCTATTATTTGTGTTATTATGCCAAAAATACTTGAAAGGTGATAAAACCCTAATAGTTGACACCCAAAAAAGTTCACTTTGCCAAAAGTTGTCACATTTTTGATCCAAAGGTACTGTTTACTACTTCTTGCCACCATTTTGGAAAAACTTGTGATTTCAAATCCATACATCAGCTATAGCACGCAAGATGGCTCCAACAATACTATAATAGCTATTTCAGTTAGCTTATAACCTCTATAAATTCTTATTTTCGGAAATAATATACTAATGCGTCAACTTTTAGGACCCTGTCAAAAATTGGGTACTTTACCTTACGCGGTTTTAAAGACGAGTTTATTTTACTTTTATTTCATTAAGACCAAGTTATTTTATAAATACATATACTTATTAGTTATTATTATACAGGGTGTCCCACCGGAATCAAATCGATCTATATATGAAAAACTGTATGCAGAAAATTTTTGAAAATTTAACAGTATACTAATGTTAATGAGGGCAACTTGGCTTAAATATTTTCAAGATGGTGGCACTTCCGGTTATACCAGAAGTAGACGTCAACTTGCTTATTTTAAATAAAACACCCCATTTGTGATTGCATATTTGGATTCTACGTGAAAATCTGAGCAGATTTCATATGATATACCCGATACCTAGGTTCAAGAGTTTTGCAAATATTGACAGTTGAAAATTGACTTTTCGCAACTTTGACAGGCTGTAAATCCTAAACGGTTAATTTTAGAGGAAAATCAATTATACATTCCTATCTTAGATTTTTATAAACTATCATTTAACACCAAGTTTGAATTTAATCGATGTTTAAAAATTGCAATTAAATTTAATGTCCGGTTAAATTCAAACTTGGTGTCAAATGATTTTATGAAAATCTAAGATAGGAATGTAAAATCGGGTTTCCTCTAAAATCAACCGTTCAGGTTTTACAGCCTGTCAAAGTTGCAAAAAGTCAATTTTTAGCTGCCATTATTTCCAAAACAGTTGAACTTAAGTTTAGAGTATATTACATCAAATCTGCTCAGAATTTTACGAAAAATCCAAATATACAATCACAAACAGGGTGTCTCATTTATAATATGCAAGTTGACGTCTACTTCCAGGTATAACCGGAAGAGCCACCATCTTGAAAATATTTTAGCCGGGTTGCCCCCATTGACATTAGTATACTGTCAAATTTTCTGCATACAGTTTTTCATATAATATATCAATTTGGTTTCCGGTGGGACAGCCTGTATAATAGATATGAGTGAATTAATAACATCAATCAAAAATCGAATGAAAACTCATAAAAATGTATTTGCTCTTTTATTTTCCTTACATTCTTACCTCGATTCCTCGCTCGATTCTTACCAATTATTTTTTTTAACTCACAGAACAAAAAAAAATCCTAAAATTTTGTCTAGTCTGCTTGTACTCAAATCTCAGTTATAGCACTACATAAATATTTAGGAACTACATAAAAAATGTATGTTGATGTTTTTTATTCATTAAAAAAAGTTATAAAATCTAGAATAATCAATAATAAGTTATACTCTTGGGTATACTGAATGTAGCAAAATACTGAACTCAGTATTTTTCAGTGATAAATATCCTGATATATATCTTGATAAATATCATGATATTTATGCTATAAATATCATGATATATATCAATATTAATTGTTTGGCCTTTTTTTCTTATTTTATAGTTTTATTATTTTATGTTGAAAAGTTTAACGGCCGTAGTAGTACATTTATGAGGAGGAAATCACAGAGATCTCGGCCAAAACAGTCTATATTACGTCATTTATCAATTATTATTTTATTTGTGTATAAGAAATATCAGGCTTTTTAGTGTGGGTATTATGAAACTATTTTGACAGATAACTAAATGTTAACTTCTGGAATTATTATGAGAAGTACCGTCATTCCAGAAGTTAAATTCTAGTTATTCTGTCAAAATATCCGCCCTAAGTTGTAGTTTTTTTTTTTGTTGTTGAGTTCAGAGTTGTCATTTTTGTTGTTGTTGAATCCTGTCTTAAGACAAACATAAGTAGTATAAATGACATATATGTTTTCATATTCTTAAACTCGAATTTGTATTTACCTACTACACTTCACATTCCTCTACACATGTATAGAAGATAGGACAGGAGCACTAGAACTTGTTATCGCCATACCAACTTTACATGTTTGTAACATTTTATTAAATTTACCATAAAGTTATTTTGAATTTTAATAATAGATAACAGAAAACAGATGAACCTATTTAATTTAAGTAGGTATAATTAAAAATTTAAATAAATATCCAAATTTGGATATATATCCGATATATATCAGATAATTGGATATTTATATAAATATCATATTTGCCAACCCTGGATTTTTTAGTATCTTAAGTATTGTTCAGTATTCTTCAGTACTGTATCAGTATCGTTTAGCAGTATTCAGTATCAGTCATTATCATTCAGTATCATTCAGTCAGTATTATTCAGTATTTTGCAAATACCTTCAGTAGCGTTTAGTATGGGGTTTTTTCAGTAGGTGTACAAAATTTTTATGTTTCGCACACCCCTCGTACGTAGCCCATGCATTAGAAGTTTTTGAAGTTGCAGAGGGATTGGATACATCTTGTAACCATAACTAATCGTTCCAGGTCTTCAACTATACAGGGTGTACCAAATGTAAGCAATAATTTTCTGTAAAAGGGCAACTTTTCTAAATTATTATTAATATTATATTCCTGTAGTTTTCCATGAATTTGCTAAATTGAAAATATGATCTAATGAATATCTTTGTTTTTATATACAGACTCACCATTCACTATTACAAAAAAACAAGAAAAGACCTCTCACTATTGAAAACTCGTAATATCAGCAGAATATGTAAAGGCTAAAAAAAGAGCCAGGCAGTGAAATTTGGGTGTTGGGCGAGAGAGGTTAACCTGAAAATAATCGATAATTGATGACCAGATAGATAAATTAAGCGAATGTTCAGTATTCCAGTTTAGACCTTACCTCAGGATACCACCAAATTCCAATAGCCGAACATAGTAATCACCTTACATCTTTTGTATCACCTTACATCTTTTGTAACACCTGAAGGACAATACGAGTACAACCGAATGCCATTTGGACTCAGTAACGCACCAGCAGTCTTCCAGCGCATTATGAATCAAATATTAGGACTATATCGCTACATAGCTGCAGTTTATTTTACGACGTAACTTTACCAAGCAAAAGTCCCGAAGAAAATTTATGTAGCATCCAAATAATATTCCAAACATTACGAAATGAAAATTTGACACTCAACATCAACAAATGCGCTTTTCTCTGTTCAACCATAAATTATTTAGGATTTGAAATAGACCAACATGGAGTACGACCTGGGGCTGCAAAAATAGAGGCTGTTCAGAATTTCCCTGTACCAAAAGCTGTTAAGGTTTAAAGTCAGGCCTATAGTTTATTAGAGCAACGCGAGATTTCAATGCTATCGCACCTATAGTGTGCCCTAACTTGACTGTCAAAAAAAAAATAGAAATCTTCATTTGGTTAAATTGTGTGATAGAACGTTTTTTCTTTTTTTGGCGGAAATTCGAAGTATTATTCTGTTTTACATAAACAGGGTTGTAGTCTCGACCAACGCAAATAATTTTGAACGTTCATCCGTCGGATTTTTTTCTAAACAGTGTAGCTACGGACGTATTTCCAACTATTTTTGCAGTAGCGAGAAAACTACAAGTTCAAAAAATTTGAAAAAAAATATATGTCGCGTAGAATTGCAATAGTAGTTCGTAATAAAAATAATGGGAAACTTCATCTATTCGTTTTGAAATAAATGGTGAAAAACTACTTTTTTTTCAGTTTTTGCGATATAACTCAAAAATGGCGAGTCAAACTTGCTTAAAAAAGTTATGGATTAAAGTATATCGATAACCATAAAACATATATTTTTTTTGGAATTTTTGAACACAAGGTTCAGAAAATAGGGGTTGACTTTAAACCTTAAAACTGACCTTGAGTGCGATGTGATAAATGCAGATCTCTCTGACCACCACGCTATAATAGCCAAACTCCCCTTGAAGTTAAAGTCATGTAATAACTCCAAGAAACAAGGTAGGATATTTAGCAAAAGAAACTTCCTAAAATTTAAAAGTAGCTGTAATAGTACTAACTGGCAACCCATACTTCTAAAATGTGACCCACTCCAAGAGTTCCACCTTCTTCTAAGTGGCATCATTAATATAACTTTTCCTTTAAGACCACTTCGTAAAAGATTGAACCAAAAACACTGGATGACACAAGGTCTAAAAACATCTGCAGCCAATCTTCGTTCTCTAAATATATCAAGGAGACACTTTCATGACAATCCATTTATAACTGCCTACTACCTAAGATTTCGTCAAGTCTACAAAAAACTCACTAAAACAGCTAAATACCTCTTTTACTCAAGTCGACTTAATAATGCCACCAACAAATCTAGGGAAACATGGAATGTTGTAAAAGAAATAACTGGCAAAAATATCTCAAAACCAACTGAAATTGATATAAAACCGGAAGAACTTAATAACTATTATTGTTCGGTTGCCAGCAATCTCACCAGCACCATTAATTCTGATACTGATCCTATGATTTACCTGGAAGGCTTACGGGTACAAAACCTATTTCTTCTATATATCAATGATCTCCTGTTCATCAATATATCTGGAGAGTTTGCAGCGTTCGCGGACGATGCGACTGTGCTTTGGCACAACTTCGACCGTAACGAGCTGATCAGAATAATATCCCACGATCTTAACAGTGTCAAAATGTGGTGCGATGCAAATGGACTCCTTTTCAACTTCAACAAAACCCAAATACTAGCATTCCGATGTAACATCGAACGAATTTTCCGTTAAAAGTTCGAAAAATACAAAGTTTCTTGGACTTAACTTGGATGTTGATCTTAAATTCCACTCACATATAATAGCTCTCAATAAAAAACTATCTTCAGGCTGCTACTGCATACGATCAATCTCATCTACCTTGGGGTTCACCATAGCAAAATCAGTATATTTCGCTGTGATACAATCGCACCTAACTTATGGATTGCCATTTTGGGGATGTTGCAGCCAATATCTTTTTGAATCAGTGTTTAAACTACAAAAACGGGCAATCCGATTTATTGCTCGCGTTTCACCACGGGAACACTGCAGGCCACTATTTGTTACGTATAGGATCCTCACTCTTCCATGTCTTTTTATTCTCGAGTCAGTAAGCTTTATTCATAAGAATATCTCTTGTTTTCCGGCACGCCAAACTACCCATCTGACGAGACAAAGTCATCATCTGTCGCTTCCTATTCCACATTCCTCTCTTGTACAGAACTTTATCATTTACAAGAGTGTAAAACTTTATAATTACCTTCCAGCAACTTTGAAAGATATATCAGATATCACTCTATTTCGAAAAAAGTTAAAAATTATCTTACTTACCCAAGCATTCTATACTGTTAATGAATTTCTGGACTTGGTATTTTGAACCTAATAAATTTAACCAGCTTTTGCAGCCTAGAATTATCGTGGGCGGGGCACTCTGTCCTGGGTGTTTATTTTATTTTCCTATCAGAGCACTACTGTACTGTTTGTTCGTGTTTTATCTTATTTCTTAATGTTTCTGTCAAGATCTGACTCCCTAGTTATTTAGTTATTATTGATTTTAATATTTTACAACAGTTTGTTCTTGTATTGTTTCTTCTCTCTGTGACTTATCACTTGTTTATAATTTTTTTTTACTTATTTATTAACTGTTAAAATTTAAACTTATGTACCTATGTGTATTTACTGTGACAAGCATTATAGTTAGATGGTTTAGATTTTAGATTTAAGGATTAGCTTTGTCCATAATGATTATTGTATCTTTTGACAATAAAGCATGCTACTACTAAGGCCGCGAAATGCCGGGGCTGCTTGCGGCCGAGGCAAGATAATTTCGGAAATGCTGAAAAGTCTCATGGTCATGGTATACACACCACGTAAGGTGGCAGCCGTGAAATTGAATTTCGCGGACGGTTGCATGAAAAACAATATCAAATAATATTGAAAAAAAAAAAATTGGAAAAATTGCAGATGATGCTTAAGGAATAATGGACGTCAATTTGAGTACATATTGACAATAATAATTAGTTTCTAAGTCATTATTTTCAATATTGTTTATAATTAGATAATTTTGTGTCCTAAATAAAAGGAAAATAGTGTTAGACCGTCTTTGTTACAAATAACGAATTCCAGGGCCGAATTAAGGTGAAATTTTGTTGAAAATCACTGATGAGCACCTTCTAGGAAATAAAGGGAGCTTTCTAAAAATGACATAAAAATCCAGGCCCTTATTTAAAAAAATGAAGTTGGTGAGGGTGGCTCGATCACGAAACGTCGGATTTGATATTTGAAGATGCCATGTTGTAGAGGCATAAAAATTATAAAACTTTCAAATTTAAATTATGTCTCGAGAATCAATAGTTTTCAAAATAATTGATGAAATATTTTCAGGCGTTTCTCAGGAATCACCCTGTATTTCATAAACTAAAAGGAATTTGGCAACACTGTGAACGATTCTTGAATGGGCATCAAAAAAGTCAACTTTTTTCTAATTTAACCGACCTCGTATCTCTTACCGTTTCGGAGATAGCAATAGTGGTATCACTTAAAACGGACACCCTGTATATGAGTAATTTTTTTTAAAAACAGTTTCTTTATTATTGTAAACATAAAAAAATTCTAATCCCCCTGCAACCTCAAAAACCTCTAATGTACGGGCTACGTGAATCACCCTGTATTATTATCTACAAGAAAATTACAAATAACGAAAGAAAAGTTCTTACCCCAATATCCCTATACCAAGGAGTAACAACTTTCCCCAAATAGCCTTCCTGTGTAACATTCAAATGTAACCGTTCCTCGCTGGTCAGCTGCTTTGAATGTATAACGACATTATTTTTTTCTCTCAACACATCAAAATCAATTGTTTTTGACGCTTTATTGAGTGGAACTACCAGAATGCTTTCCGCATTGTTTCCATCGTCGGAAATCAAAAATGTTTGCAATCCAGACAAGATTTCCTTGTAGATGGTGTAATTGAACTCTTTTATGTCTAAAATATCCTGTTTTGTAAGTGAAAATGACGAAACGTTTCTTTTCAGGGACACATTGATGGTCCCCATGCTGATATAAATTGGAAAATCGCACACAGATGGCACTGGATTTGGTGTAATGAAACCGTAACACAGATTTGATGTGTAAATATCGTAAAACGTTGCATAATTGACTTCTTCTCGTCGTTCAAACACAGGCTGTAGATCAATTATATGCAACCAAACTGGTGTGTTTGCCGTTAAAGGGCCTTTGACACATGCTGGAATCTAAAATTGAAACAAAATAAGGCTTATTAAAATAAATAACTAAAATTTTTGCTCGCCTCCTTCTTATGATTCCGTTTGTTTCTATTCGTCCCAGCCATATCCTCTTTCACTTCAGGATAATGTTTAAATAAAAAGTTAACATCCTGATCAGCAATTCTGCGTTTTTGCGGCAATAAATGATCGTCCAATTCTCCCACCTTATGCAAAAGTTCGCACGCTTTTAAAGCCGCTGCACGTTTCGCAGACTTTAGACTTGCCACAAATGGTCCGACAATTGGATCTCTCAGGAGCGAAATAGTAGGCAAGACAATGGTGACACTGATCAACTGGTCTAACCCAACTTTTTTTCGTTTGTAATACAATGCGGGCGCCAAACTGGTGTATTTGTCGCACGGCAGACTGCTGCAATATTGACACAGCAACGAAATAGCCGAAATCATATCCACTTTCGCCGAATTCGGTCCTTTGGCGTAATAGGGTGGAAACTCGTCTTCATTGTACATTCGTTCTATTGCATACTGAGACGGTTCTTTTCTATGCATATTTTTACCCACTAGTAACTGGAAAAATTACAAATAATATGGAATTAATCACAACTTTCCACATTTACCTGATTGAGATTATTTTCAATCATCTGGAAATCCATATATCTAATGCGGAACTTTTCATGGTGGGACTTTTCCACCAACATGTAAAACAAGCTGGACCTATTCCTGGCGCGGCCTTTTGATTGAATATAAGACCGATACTCTTCGGGATGGTCGAATCTAATCACCAAAGAACAAGTGGTTATATCGACACCTTCTTCTAGCACATTAGATGAGCACATAACGTTGATTTCTTTGTTGTCGAATGACTGTAGGACTTCTTTATTTTTTTTTGAATTGTACAACACTTCCCTGGTGTCATTGAAAGGGTTTGCATTGTAACCGACCATAAAATTTGCTTTGATATGGGAGAATTTTTCAGAGGCTTTACTAAGGCTATCAAGTATGTAGTAGATAACTTTAGCCGTAAATCTGCGTTTCGTAAATACTATAGCGCAAAGTTCTTCTTTGGACCTCATTGGATAGGTTTCAAAAATTTTAATTAGTTCTTTAACCTACAAAAATATGATAATATAGCTACCAAAAGACAAATAAAAAAAGAACAAACCTTTTCAGAAGAAAATGTAAAAATTTTCTCTTCTTCCGTATAACTGCTCATAGCCCTATCAAACATTCTATATAAAGAAGTTAAAACTGTTTGAAAATAGTTTAATCCGTCATATAATGTTGCATTGTCGCAATGTTTCCTTATTCGTTCAATTTGAATTATATGAGCCCGAATAGACTTATAACCGCCATATATTCCCATGGTTTGAACGTGAATTATAACATCCGATATTGTATTAACGATTTTTTTAAAACCTTCCTCTTTCAGTATAGGTTTGAGATCAGCTTGAGGCATTAAAGGGAGACATGATGTATTATATACTGCACTTTGAAAGAGGTTTGACATATCGCTTAGTCTCTTTATTGCAAAATTTTCTAAACGGCTTGGTATGTGTTGATTAAAAACTATTAAAATTTCTTCAGGATTTGTTGAAAAGCTTAAACAATAAAATTTAAATTTTAGCTACTATAATCAAGCTTTAGATTTTTTTTTCTCACCCAGTAACTTTTTCTAGCCCATCAACAGTGGCAACCTGACTGTGGTATGTGATCTCCAACTTCTCAACTTCGACAAGAACTTTGTCTGGCTTACAATTGCCATTAAGCAAAGTTGCTGTCAGTCCCAGAATCCTTGGCTGATTCGGAATTGTTCCCAAAGATTTGCACAATTGTCTCATTGGCTGATCACTTACCCCACGATGACATTCGTCAAACACAATCAGGTTTACTTTATTCAAGTCTTAAAATTATAGAAATAAAATCACGTTTTTTAACAAAGCAACTAAATACCTAAAAACCCCTGATTGGTCAGGTTGACCAGAATTTGTATTGTCATTACAAATACCTGACCGCTATCAAGTTCGTCCAGCCATTTGTCTTTGGGCCAAAAATCTAAAGCCATATCTCCGGAATAAGTTTTGACCTCCAATGTTGTTCTATCTTTGATGCATTTTGCATGTTGATCTACTAAAGCAATTGTGTTGACTACTACAAAAGAAATTGAGCCCCCTTCGGTATATTTTCTGGAACGAAAAAAATCATTAGGATGCTTTGATTTAATAATAATAATAATAATAGCATTTATTAATAGCATCAGCTAACAAACAACAACAAAAATACATCATTAACAAAATATTCAGTATTTAAACACTATTTTAGTTTTCAACAATAAATTCTCTTAACCTAACCTTAAATATAGCGAAACTTTCATTCTTAATATCACTAGGACGATTGTTAAACTCTACTAATCCTTTATGAAACAAGCTATTCTGTGCGAAGGAAGACTGGACAGTCGGAACATAAAAATCAAATTTACTTCTAGTATTATAATTATGAATATCAGAGACAAATTGCAACCTATGTAATATATGTTCTGGATACAAACCATTTTTTATCTTATAAGCTACTATCATGGTACAAAAATAAATATTCTGTCTTACACTTAATAAATTTGTCGACTTCAGCATGTCTTTTATTCTTGTGTACCTATTACATCCTAAAATACATCTTAAAGCTATGTTTTGTTTTATCTGCAGTATGTCTAAGTCAGATTTGGCAAACATGTACGTAATGGAAGCACAGTAGTTGAAATGTGGTAGTATTATTGTTTTATAAATAATTAATTTAGTCCAACCACTTAGGTCTCGACCTATTCTACACAGAAAATATATTTTTTTTGATACTTTCTTAATCAGATACCTCGCATGACTAGAGAATGTTAGGAACTCATCAATAACTACTCCTAAATACTTGAATTCTTTAACCTTGTCTACCTCTACACCATTTATAAATACATTACTATGAGAGTTGATATCTGTACTATAATTCTTGTTTTTTAATAACATGAACTTAGTTTTTTTGATATTAACACTTAAAACTATTATCACACAGCCATTTATACAGGGTGTCCCACGGTGGATGGCGTATTAGACGTTTACGGATAACTAAAAAGCGGATTATTTTTAAAATTTGGCAACCGGGATAAACGACCATGATCTACAATTTAAAAATATTTTTGACCATACGGTGTTGCCGCTTCTACTCTAAACCAATGGCAACATCACTATTTTAAATAGAACACCCTGTATGTGATTGCATATTTGGATTCTACGTAAAATTCTGAGCAGATTTCATGTGATATACCCTATACTCAACTGTTTTGGAAATATTGACAGTTGAAAATTGACGTTTTGCAACTTTGACAGGTTGTAAAACCTAAACGGTTAATTTTAGAGGAAAGCCGATTTTACATTCCTATCTTAGATTTTCATAAACTATCATTTGACACCGACTTTGAATTTAACCGGAGATTAAATTTAATTGGAATTTTTAATCATGGATTAAATTCAAAAATGGTGTCAAATGATAGTTTATGAAAATCTAAGACAGGAATGTAAAATCGGTTTTCCTCTAAAATTAACCGTTCAGGTTTTACAGCCTGTCAAAGTTGCAAAAATTCAATTTTCAACTGTCAATATTTCCAAAAGTTGAGCTTAGGTATAGGGTATATCACATGAAATCTGCTCAGAATTTTACGTAGAATCCAAATATGCAGTAACATACAGAGTGTTTCATTTAAAATAGCGATGTTGCCACTGGTTTAGAGTAGAAGCGGCAGCACCGCATGATCAAAAATATTTTTAAAGTGTAGGTTATGGTCGTTTATCCTGGTTGCTAAATTTTCAAAATGATCTGTTTTTTAGTTCTCCATAAACGTTTAATACGCCATCCACCGTGGGACACCCTGTATAGCCTACGTAAAGCTTCATTAATTAATTTTATTAAGTTGTCCATATTGTCACTTTGGAAGAATAAGACGGTATCATCTGCGAAAAGTTGCAATTCACAATGTTTAACTACTCTGACAATATCGTTTATGTACAGGGTGATTCATTAAGAATGGCACTCGGCCATATCTCAGAAACTATTCATCGACAGAAAAAAATTATCCTATAAATATGGCCAAGAGAAAATGCTGGAAATATATTTCAGCTTTCTAGAATGAACGCAAGAGGGCGTAACACAACTGTCAAAGTACAAAAATGGTTTTATTTCAGAAATTTCAAATAGAAACGTAACCTAAAAATGCAAGTAATGGATTTTTGATGAAATTTCACACAATTTTGGTCTATTACTTTTTAACATAACTTATCGGATAAGATAGATATGAGCTGTCAAATATTGCAACTCAAGAAAGCGGATAACTTCAAAACGACTCAACAAATCTGGTCAATCTTAGGTTCGTTGGAAAGACAAAAGTCTGCTCTTTAATTTTGTTGTGAAAAATTCAAATTCTGGTTAGTAGGACTGATGCTATGGGTCGATATTTGAAAACAATTGAATGTTTCCAATTTTTCTTAAAATTTTCAAATGGAACGGTATATTTAATATACATTAAATCGATTTCTGAGGATTTTTTACACATAGTTTGACTTTATTACCTTCCTACAAACGGATTTCAGAAAGTGGTAAAATTAATTTTATTTAAAATAATCAGTATTTATGAAAAAGCCCTCGTAGATAATGACTTTGTTTTTCTGACAGTTGTCAAATAATAAAAAAAAGTGCGTTCCAAAATTATAAATGTTATTTTGGGTTAATTTCCTTGCAGTTTTTGAGACTATATCTCAACTTCATGAGGATTTTTCAGCGACTAACCGTTTGTAACCGTGTTATAAACGGTATCTGAAAATCTCTAACCGTTGAAATTTTAACGAGGCAGCGGTAATAGGGAAAGTTATTATGACGTCAATAGTGGAAATCAATGACGTCACGCATTTATAACACGGTATTGAATTCAGTAACCTATGCAGGACCTGGGTTACTGGCGGTTATAGAACATTTGACAGTTGGATTTTAATTCAAATATGGGCGTTTGGGTTTTACCTCAATGGGTTTTACCTTACTCTAATGTCAAACCCAAAAATTAGAAAATATTATTGCGGGACGTGGACCTGGGTTTCTGGTTTTTAGTTTAAACGTAAAAGGTGAAAAAAACGCTCAGTAAGGTAGAACGTGTAATATCCAATCCATTTCTTGGAGATCCGGGGGACATGAGACTATCCAAAACACGTGACTTTGACAAGCAAACAAAGGGTTGTGTGCCTCTTGGCTGACATTTTAATTTAAGTTTGACAGCACCTTGAATAGTCAGCCCATAGAGAATTATAATAAACCAAGGTAAGAGTTACCGATTTATATGCGCCAACTGGCAACGTATTTCTTGTAGCACATGGTGGCGCTAGTATAGCTTGGAACTATCTGACAATTCTGACATCGCCTCCCATTCTTATATCTGTCTCTTTTTAACAGATGTGATAATAAAAGAAGAGAGGACATTGGGTTTTATTTATTGTACATTGCGATTTCCAACCTATGAAATGACATTTTCTTTTTTCAAAACTGACACAAATGAGTGAACCTTAAATTAATTAGGTAGTTTATTAAAAATACATGATTCTGGTAAGATTCACAATGTGAAAATGGTTAAGTTCATGCGTAAAAAATAATAATTATTAAATACTAACCTATTATTAGTGAAAAGTGGGATGTTTTCGATTTTTTTTGTTGTAATTTTTGCCAATGATCAAAATAATATAGATTACTTCATGTAAATTTGTTGATTATTTATTTTTGTTTCCAGGCCAGCGTTTTCCCGCATTTTTTTTTTCTGTCGACTGCGGAAAAACGCTGTGCTAGATTTCTACCTTCAAAAATAACAAGACTCTAATCTGAAAGTTCAAAAAGCCCGCCAAATATTATTTAAGTTGGTCTTGTAGTGGATAGGGGCGCTAGTATCGATATGACGTCATCGCGATGCCAGTGTCGCACCACAGAATCGGTAACTCTCACCTTGGTTTATTATATTTCTCTATAAGTCAGCCTATCCAAAACACGTCACTTTGACAAACAAACAAAAGGTGTGGTGTGCCTCTTGGCGGAAATTTAAATTTAAGTTTGACAGCATCTTGGATAGTCTAATAACCGGTTCGTTTTTGCGAAAAAGAGGATAGCAAACTTTATTGGTTGGTGGTAATGTGGTAATTTTGACAGAACACCAGTGGTGACTGGTGAGGGTAATACCCGTACGGTTATAACTCGTGATAACACGGTTACAAACGGTTACTCGCTAAAAAATCATTTATCAACCGAAAATAACATTTATTTTTTTGGAACGCACTTTTTTTTTTATTTTTGACAGCTGTCAGTAAAACGAAGTCATTATCTACGAGAGCTTTTTCATAAATACTGATTATTTTAAATAAAATTAATTTTAATTCTAAAAAATCCTCAGAAATCGATTTAATGTATCGTAAATATACCGTTCCATTTGAAAATTTTAAGAAAAATTGGAAACATTCAATTGTTTTCAAATATTGAGCCATAGCGTCAGTCCTACTAACCAGAATTTGAATTTTTCAAAACAAAATTAAAGAGCAGACTTTTGTCTTTCCAATGAACCTAAGATCGACCAGATTTGTTGAGTCGTTTTGAAGTTATCCGCTTTCTTGAGTTGCAATATTTGACAGCTCATAACTGTCTTATCCGATAAGTTATGGTAAAAAGTCATGAATCAAAATTGTGTGAAATTTCATCAAAAATCCATTGCTAGCATTTTTAAGATACATTTCCATTTGAAATTTCAAAAATAAAACCATTTTTGTACTTTGACAGTTGGGTTACGCCCCCTTGCGGTCATTTTAGAAAGCTGAAATATATTTCCAGCATTTTCTCTTGGCCATATTTAAGGGATAATTTTTTTCCGACAAGACTACGATGAATAGTTTTTGAGATATGGCCGAGTGCCATTCTTAATGAATCACCCTGTACAATACAAAAAGGTCCGGTCCCATAACTGTTCCCCGTGGTTACACCATACCTGTTTACTTTCACTGATGAAATGGCATTGTGATATTTTATCTGCTGCGTTCTAGAGTCCAGATATTCTGTGAACCACTTAAGGACCGTTCCTCGAAAACCATTTTTTTCCAACTTTTGTTTAAGAAGACTACGATTTATAGTCTCAAACGCTCTTCGAAAATCTAAAAAGACAACCCCAACCACATTCTTCACACTCAGCGCGTTCTTCCATCTGGAGATGACAGTCTGTAGAGCACTTTCACAAGAATGTTTTTTTCTGAAACCAGGGGCCTGTTTCATAATAATGAAGAGTTGAAAAGTTGAGGAGTTAGGAGTGACATAATGTTACATTTCATTTCATAAAAGCGTTCAAGATTCAAGAATTGAGGAGTGAAGGGTTGAAGAATGACGAGCTGAAGAGTTGAATAGTTTACAAAATTTTGAATTTCATTTCATATGAACAGATTTCACTCCTCAACTTGATTTACTGACGACTTTATGAAGACCCTTATTTCTAATTTAAATGCGTTTAGTGCACATCATATATAGATAATGCAGAATCTACTATTTAGCAATGATTCTTGTTCTGGTGAAGAAAATGTGCCACAAAGCAAAGGCAAAGATTCAGATAAATTTATATGGGAAGAGACTAAGGTGAGACATTTGGCACAATATACCTACAAATTTGTTTAAAACTACGTTAGAGAATAGACTTTTTGATGCAAACACCAGATTCAGGATATCCGAAGAAAAATTTACTTCCCTGGAAATGATTCTGAATAATGACTTGAAGCAAAGTACTAAAGGAGGAGGATTAACAATTGAAACAAATTACGGAAGTGTCTCTTCATTGGCTGGGATATTATTTTGTGTACTCTTCTACTCGTCAACTCTTCATGAATAATGAGGAGTAGACGCAAATTGATTTTGAAACAAAACCAACATTTACTTTTCATTCCTCAACTCTTCATTCTTCACTCGTCTCTCATCAACTCTTCATTCTTATGAAACAGGCCCCAGCTTGAAATTCGGTAAGCAATTTGTTGTCCTCAATATACTTCCTCATTTGTTTATTTACAACTGTTTCCAAAAGCTTCTCATATGTTGGCACCATGTTGATAGGTCGATATTCCTCGCATTGTTTTGTGTTTCTTATTTTTTCGTTTGGAACTAGTTGACAGTCTCCAATCTTTGGGAAAACTACCTGTTGCCAAACTGAAGTTGATAAGCTGGACAAACCGATTGCCAATTGACTCAAATGCTGCCTTCAGTATCTTGACGTTGATACCATCCACACTACTTTTTTTATTTTTCAAGTTATTCACTATATTTTTCAATTCCCTCATTTCCAGCAAATTGAACTGCTCAAATTTATTTACAGGTGTTACAATGTTATCTAATATCACACTTGTTACTCTTTGCTCTGTATCTGTGGACAGGACTCGAATACTATCTAAGAAATAGTTGTTGAATTTTTCTGCAATTTCTGTATTCTCCGTTTCCATACGATCCTCGAATATAACTCCTCTATTTTTAGCACTTTTGGGTCCACTTATAAGATTTTTTAACGTTCTCCACATCTCTTTTTCATCGTGTTTAACTTCATCAATTTGATCATGGTAATACCTTTGCTTCTGTGACCTAATTATCTGCACTACCTTGTTTCTTTGTTGTTTGTAAGATTTCCAGTCTTCATTTTGATGTGTAATTATGGCTTTTTTGTATAATATGTCTCTTTGTGATACTTGTTCTTTAATTTCTGGTGACCACCATTTTTTGTTTCCATATTTACCGTATATCCTTTTCTCGACTAAAGGCGCGTGTTGATTAAGGTTACGAGATATTGTCTGAACAAGGTGATTGGCTACGTCATTCGTGGATTGCAGGGAATCTGAGAACTGTTTCAGTGACTATTTCGATATGAGGGAAATCAATGGTTATTATCGAATGATCTGCTATTTTTGGCGTGTGATGAACCTTGTGAGCAACTGTCTTATTATTTGTTATAATAAGGTCTATTATTGTGGAGCTATTCTGAGTAACTCTTGTGAAATTTTGAACCATTTGATACATTCCATGACTTGAAACTAATGTTTTTAGTTTGTCTGAATAAAATGTGTTCCTTGCAACGTTTATATTGAAGTCTCCTACCAATAGAAATGTATCAGGTTTGGTTGCATATTCTTCAATTATTTTATCCAGTTTATCAAGAAACTCGTTGTGACTTGAACAGGGCGAATGGTAAACATTAAGAATATTGTATTTTTGACCTTTGAAATTCAAATTTACTCCGATCAGCCACATATTTTTTTCCAAAATTTCATTTATTACTATATTATACTGGAGTTCCTCCTTAATGTATATAGAAGCACCTCCTGTGTGTCGACTTGATGAAAACGCATACATATACAAAATACAGCTAGATCAATCGTTTGTTAAGACTTGTTAGTTAACTAAACCCTTAGATTTTGTTAATGTCAGAACAGAAGTAGAGGTGAATCAAAAATACAAAGATGTAATACGGTCTTAAAGAAAAATAGTAAATGAGCATACAGAAGCTATACCATAAAATGATGCATACAATTCAAGTTCAATTTACAAGAAGACAATTAAAATAAAACAAAATATGTACAAAGTGGCATACATCAAACTACAACAGAAAGATAAAAATCCACAAATATATAAAAATGTCCGCCAGGGCATATGAAATAAAATTTAATTTTAGTATAGTATTTCTATTTTTTGCATTAGGACTTAAGTTATGTTTTCAATAATTATCCAAAATATCATTTTATTTACATTGCACAATTATTGATTTAATTCTTATCTTAACTATTTTATTTTTAGTAGGTAGGTATACATGATTAAATTATTTTTTAAAATCGAATAAACTTTACAAACGAGTTGATAAAAGAAATAAAAATTATAATTTTTGAGTCAATAAAAATATTACATTGTTGCACAATACAATAAATTTTAAATACAACTTGATTAACTTACATGCGGCAGTGTTGCAGGTGTTTGAGAACTAGCACTGCAATGAAAGTCTTGCCAGTTCCTGTTGGTAAATAAATTATGCTGTTTTTCTCGATAGCTATTTCTCTTAAGGCCTCTTGGTAGTCCCTGGGTGGAAATTTATCATTATCTTCTTCCATTTTTTTTTCCCTGTGAATTGTCTGTATTTAGGTATTTAATAGACAAAATTGAAGAAATCAATTACTAAGGTAAAGTTCGTTTCATCAGGGTTCATACTTGACCTTGAAACTTGGAAAAAAAAGGGTTGTCGTAGATTATTCCATATGACACATTCAATTTTTTTGACAAATTAAAATGAATGACTTCTGGTTTAAGAACCGACGACCATTTTTGACGTTATTGATTTGTTTCAGTCAACTTCCATTTGTTAAACAAGGAAGGCAAATGCTGGTGGCAAGTACAAATCCTGGTGAAACAAACTTTATTTAAATAAGAATAGATCCAACAACCACATTAAAATATTTAGCGTTTTCTTATTATCGATATTCTCTCATTGGAAATGAATTTTCAAATGAACTATGTATAGGTAGGTACTAAATTGATGAAATTTAAAAAAATTTTAGGTTGAGATTTTGTTTCTAAATGATCATTCAAGACCCCCCAAACTCTATACACTACATTATTCTGAAATTTGGAGCCGAATTCTGTGAAAAAGGGTACTCAGAAAAATTGAAAAAGTGATAAGTCACAATTTTCGAACGGGAGGCAGGCATTAAAATCACCCATATTCTCATCAGCTTAGTAGCCACATTCAACCCTCAAAATGCCAGACAAAAAAAAATGACTCCACTAAACAGCCCCTATCTCACAGTCTATTACTTTTAATGTTGTTGTTTCAGAGCAACTGGCTATAAGTGCAGGGGCTCCACAAGGATCTGTTTTGGGACCTCTATTATTTTTATCGTATGTACATCAACGATCTGTCTAGCATTGATATACAGTGTGTCCCACTTAAGGACTGACCACCCATCTAAAATTTTTATTTTTCAACCCATTCAATTCATTTTTTTTTTTGTCTTATATCTACTGGAATTTCACACTTATTTGGCTCATAATTTTATTTCTGCGGCTGTACTGGTGTACAGGGTGTCCACATTTATAGGCTCAAATTTCAATAAGTACTATTAGGGATTTTTTTAGAAAAAATCTGATAGCAAATTCTCGTTTAGAATGGTCTAAAACCCAAATGTACTAATTTTTGTTCCGATTTGATACAGGGTGATTACAATAAATTTTCAAAATATAATAGACCAAACCAGAAAAATTTCAAAATTTTGAGGCCTTGAGAATAACAAAACTTGATACAACATAATTTTAGGACGTCCTTAATCAAAACTTGTAGTAAGCTTGTCTGAAAATATAACATTTTTGCAGTCTGATTCATTAAATTGGGAAAATTTGTTATCATCACCCTGTATCGTATTGAAACAAAAATTGGTACAGTTGGGTTTTAGACCATTCTAAGCAAGAATCTGCTATCAGATTTTTTCTAAAAAAATCCTTAATAGTACTTATTGAAATTTGAGCCTATAAATGTGGACACCCTGTACACCAGTCCAGCCGCAGAAATAAAATTATGAGCCAAATAAGTGCCAAATTCGAGTAGACATAAGGCAAAAAAAAAATTAATTGAATCGGTTGAAAATAAAAATTTTAGAAGGGTGGTCAGTCCTTAAGCGGGACACACTGTATATGCTTTTCAGATATTATTGGTGAAACGTCATCCTTGGAAATTTGACAGGTTGAACCTCGTATAATAATGACATTTGATGACAAAGTATTTTTTTAAATTCAGGGTTATGTCAGTCAACCACCCAAAGGTAAAGTGTCCAGAGATTCCTATATTTGGAAATAGTTTGGTGAATTTTCAAGTATTCTCAGTATTGTTTATTATTCTTGGATACTCTCAAATTATTCTCAGTATTTCCCAGGTAGTTCTAAGTAATTCCCGATTGTTACAAAGTATTGCCATGTATTCCTAGTTATTTCTATCCTATTCCCAAGTATTCCTAAGTAAGTATTTTTATTGTATTCCCATGTTGTTTTTAATAAAATAATTTTCCATGTATTAAGAGTTATTTTCACTTCAGCATGTGATATAAGCGTTTAAGAAATAGCTAAGTCAGAAAATAGTACTGTCATACCTGTATCACTACATCTTTTCCATAAGTATTTCAGACTGTCTCACTTTATACATATTTCAGATTCATCAATTCTAGTTTAGAATGCATCAATTGTATTCCACTTGTACTTCAGAAAACGTCTTTTCTGTTTAAGATAATTTATTTGTAGATCAGAAATTGTAAATTGTATTGCAAAATTCGTCAAATGTAGTTCAGATGTTATCAATGTATTTAGTGTATTAATAGTTATTTACATTACAAGTGCGTTTATGAACATGATTACAATAACGAGTGTGAAAGATTAGAACGACGAGGTCGTAGACCGAGTCGTTCTAATCACACGAGTTTTGTAGTCATGTTTAAACGCACGTGTGATGTACAACTTTTTATCTACAAAGCGAAAAATAAGATTTTTTTTTTCAATCATTTTCGTTTAGTAGTCATTGTATACCTTCATATTACCTTTACAGGTTTACCTTTGACATTTGTCAAATAACCAAAAATAGTTGTGTTATGAATTCATAACCTTCCTTGTCCATAACACCACTAGTTGTGTTATGAATTCATAACCTTGTAGATAAATTAAATTTATAATGGGTCACCTATACACCTAGCTTGTGTGTTGATTTGGGAAAATCTGCGTAGGTTTCTGCATTCGGCGTTCAAATTTCTGTGTTACATTACATAGTATTTCCTTATACTCCTTATGAAATAAATATCTATTATTATCTGAAATACAACTGAAGCTTCCCAAAATACAATTTACTGTGTTAGGCTGGGATTACCTAACTCCTGAGCCTACTCCTTGATTCTTAATGCTTTATACCTTGTTCTTGATTCATAAGAAGTTAACTGGAATGAGGGCGTTTATCCAAATGCTTTTTTCCTAATTTAATTTTTGAGAAACACCTTGAAAAGTTCCCAACTTTTACAAATTAAGGAATACAAATACAAAAATGATCAGCAGTTTTACAGATAAAACCTGAATCTCCGGACTCTGGAATCACTAAGACACGAATTAATAGTTTTTCGCCGCTTGTTACCTTTTACCAGACTACTGCAAATTTGGAATTTGAGGATCAGGGCTTGGGTAAGGAGCCACACAAAAAAAAAAAAAAAAATTGGATGAACTTTGTATAAGTGATGGTTGAATTTTACAAATTACAAAGAATGACACGCAAAAATTCAAACTCGCACGCCGGCGCTGTGAACGCCGACAAATTATGCAAATTAAAATTCAAAATGGCGCTATAGGTCATCTCAGCCGTGATGGCATAAGATTCTGATTTGTTTAATATTGGCACATGCGCATCAACATATGTGTGCATGTATTCCCACTTTTCCCCCTATATTCCTAAGTATTCCTGAATAATATAAATGTCCCAACTGCTCATAGGTAGACCCATCATATTCCTATGTTATTCCCTCTAAAATGTCCAGAGATTCAGGGATTGCCAGATGTGGTTGACCCCTCGGAAATTTCAATTTTTTTTATGTTGAGATTTTGTGTCTGAATGATCATTCAAGACTCCTCACATACACTAAATTATTCTGAGATTTGGAGCTGGATTGGCCCGGATTCTATGAAAAAAGGCACACAGACAAATTGAAAAATTGATAAATCACCCCAAATTGCATAACACAATTTTATTTCTGGAACTATAAGTCCAAATGAGCTGAAATTTTCAAGGATTGTAGTCCTCTACTGGGATAAGAATCGCTGCGCGAGAATGTGCTCCCAGATTATTGATGTCCCTGTGCTGGTTTTTGAGATAGCCTATTAAGATTTTGAAAATGGGTCACCCTGTACATACCTATGTATAGACTTATGAATAAAAAACTGAGATAAAAATCATACAAATTTAAAAAATAGTAAAAAAATCGAGTGAAAAATGTTCCGCAATCATATTTGCAATCCCAGAAATTACCTTGCAATCCCAAAAATCACCTCAAAATCTCAAAAATTAGTTTGCATTCCCCCCTGCAGTCTCTAAAATCCACTCGCAATCCTCCGAAATCGCAAATTCTTGGAAAAATTCTTCGAAATCGCTATAACTTTTAGAAATCATAGGGTTTCCGTAATACATGTACATATTTTTCGGGAGTGGTCGCCCCTTCGATAAAAAGTTATGATGTTTTACAGTTTACAAAAATCTAAATCTACCTTATGATTTAGATGTGTTATGTTATGACCTTTCAAAGTTTTCCAAAATTCAAATCATAAGGTAGCTACTCGGGGTTGAGATTTTGTGTCTAATTGATAATTCCGGACCCCCAAACTCCATACACTAAATTATTCTGAAATTTGGTGCCGGATTCTATGAAAAAAGGCAAAATTGAACTAACACGATTTTATTTCTGAAACTATAAGTCTAAATGAGCTGAAATTTTCAAGGATTGTAGTCCTCCACTGGGATAAGAATCACTGAAAATTTCAGCTCTCTATCTCTAATAGAAAAAAACTTATAATGTTTTAAAGTTTACAAAAATCCAAATCATAAAGTAGCTATACCTTTGTGATTGTCTATATTTTGCACCCACATCTATTGGGTCTTTAAAAGAAAAACAATCAAAAGATTGCTATGGTTTTTCAAACGTATGTCTTAGCAATATTTTACTTTAATTTTGTCAATGATCTTCAATGTCAAAATGTCATGTCAAAAATCCTGACCAATAAAGAAACAATACTGCGACATACGTTTTCGTAACCAAAGCAATCTTTGATTTTTTTTTTTTGAAGACCCGATATCTCACCTGTTTGAAGAAATATCCAGAAATGTCAAATGTGAAAGTTGTAGGTAATATCAGAAAGTTTTCATTGATGTTAGTATGTTAGTTATAAGTATACTGGGAGTATCATAAAAGTATGGCGAAGCAAAGTTATACTTTTTTAAATGGAAAACCCCATATATTATTGTCCCATTGAATTAGCCTTTCAAAATTGATTTCAAATATACTAGGTTTTTTTGGGTTAGTTCATGTAAAATTCCCATATT